ACCAAGGCTAACATCATTATGGTATCAAGCCACGATTCATCATCATTATGACTTGAATCGTCACTGTTGTGACTTGAATGCTAAGTTATTATTGCGAGATGACTACATCGCCATATCAATACTATATCATCAAGTCACCAATACGAGATCGTGTCGTTGCCATTACGTTGACGTCACCAATACGAGATCGTGTCGTTGCCATTACGTTGACGCTATGTTTTGGATCTTCAGTCTTCGGGAAATGTGTGACCATTAAGTCATCATCATGACTTGGGTGGCTTCTGGTATGACTCGGATTACCTCCGTTAAGTCATCAACTTAGATCCTCTTCACTCTGTCAATGGTATGACGTAATAACTTGGAATCGCTCTGTTTAGTTTCTGTCAAAAAAGAAAAAGAAAAAAGAATAATTTATGTCAACGTAGACATGGTTGTAAGTATGTGTAATCCCTCCATATGCTCTCCTCGTCACATGTTTAGGGATGTGACTGTTTTAGTCCTCTTGTTGTCATTGTTGTAACGCCGTGGACGTTATGTCTTTGACCTTCTTCGACCACCACCGTTACGACTGAGACCGTCATCGCTACAACTTTGATCCATTTCGGATCAACACCTTTACGTGTCGGTCTCCAAATCATCATAGTTACGACCTTGTTCTGCTTCGGATTGACATCGTTACGACGTTGATTTCTATCTCAGTATTGATTGTTCTTCACCTCGAATTAGTGCCTTAGAAGTAAGAAAGCTTTATGTCCCCACAGACGGCGCCAAAATGTGGATGTCGGATTCACACACTCAAGTATTTTGTTAGGTGGGAAAGATTATTCTTGAGGGACAAAAAATGAATACGTAAGAACTTGTAAATTGATATGAAAATTGCTATATTATTTCTCTCTTGAGAGGAAGATCCCCTTTACATGGCCATTGGCCTCTATATTTATACATAGATAAGCGACATTAAAATGGATAATTAAGTACAATTATTCCTTCTTAAATGTGTCCGTTTTGATTCTTCGACTTTAATGCTCAACGTTTGAATTAGAGTTGACTCTGATTTTCATGGGCCTCGCCTTTTTGGCCCAAGTGTCCTTGAACCGACCTTCCCGCGTCTTCTACACCGAACTCACATCTCAGTGCAGTTACTTCGGACTCTCGAAGTGGTGACAACCACTTCGACCGTCCCCTCGGTTCATGGGCCCAATGGGCTTCATCCTTTATGGGCCACCCGCTTGACTACGTGGCAATCTTTGGTTGGTCTCGTACTTCTGGTGCGGGATCCGACACCAACAATGATGATGATGGCGGTGGTGGTGGTGGTGGTCGTGGACATGCTCTATTTGAGCCGATTAGTGATAGACTTACGGAAAGTTTGCGTGACACCATTAAAAGTGAAATGAGTAAAGGACGTCGATTACCTTATTAGTTAGTGATTCAATTTTATAACTATGTTTCGTTTTGCTTTATAACTTGGTTTATGACTTTTATAACTTTATTTTGCTTTCGATTTGGTTTATATTTTCAAATTTGTATACTCCCTCTGTTTCAAAATGTAAGACGTTTTGAGGTCTGACACGCAACTTAATAAAAACTATATTTTTTAATCTAAGTATTCTTTTTCTTTTAAAAACATTTAATAAAAGCTAAAACATTTTATAGTACATGTATTTCATAAAAACACACAATTACTTTTAAATTATTTTATTATTATTGTACATTAGGATAGCAAAACGTCTTACATTTTGAAACAAAAATAAAATGCCAAAATATCTTACATTTTGAACGGAGAGAATATATAATAATGAAGATTTAAAAATGTTGGTAACTAATATACAAGTAATTATTTAATCATCAAAAAAATATTAATTTCAGAATTTTAAAAAATTTCAGTTACAAGGATAACAAAACGAACAATCTTGCGATTAGTGGCAACGATCAATCGTGCGCCAAAAAAACGAAACAACCATACGATTAACTGATGTGACTAGTCACGCGATTGCTAAACGAACAACATTCTGCGATTTCAAAATCGTAGTTATAGTCGCAGTTGCTGTCCTTACCGATTATGAAAGGCGATTATGGAACGAACATGGATTATCTATATATATATATATATATATATATATATATATATATATATATATATATATATATATATATATATATATATATATATGGGCTGTAATAGAATAGTAACAGCCCATTTCAAATCTAAATTTTCTTCTGACTTGAATTAAAAAGCTACGAGACTTACTGCTTTTGCATTATACTGTAAAATTTGATTCAATCAAGTTATTTAGGTGGATGTACTTTTTTTCCATGTAACCAAGTCGGTTCCTGATTAGCTCTCTTTAGCGGAGAGTCTATTTCCGATAACTTAATATAAATGATGTTTGAAAAAAAAAAATGGTTGTACTTTTTTCACAGTAGAAAAAAAAACAATAAAACTAAATTACACAGAACCGACAAGTCCACACCAATAAATTTTCCACGTTTGTTAAATGTTAAATTATATACCTTTTATAATTAACTTTCAAATGCAAAGCGACAACTACAAATTAACATGAAACCACACAATGTATCCCATATAATATATGATCTATCACACAATGTGAGTTCTTTGATTTATTCCCATTCCAATATTATACCAAAATTGACCATGGTTCTGATTTGTAGCATGTGCAAGGACGAAACAATTATGCGGCTCTTGTAAATAATTAAGTACACAACTATGCCCATTATAATGTTAGCTCATTGTAGGATTCCGAAAGTTTAACGACACAAACAAATTAAGTTACATCAACCTGACTTTTTTGTGAAATTATTCGGTTGAATTTTTTGCTACCAGTCAAAACATATGTTTTTTTATCTATTATTGTATCATACTAACCACACCAAAAAATCAAAAGACTTGTGTTCTTTTTTTTTTTTTTTTTTTTTTTTTTTGAACACTACAAAAGACTTGTGTTCATATGTCATTTTTTGGTCTGTGTTCATATATCGAAATCATCTAAGTTTTTCTTTTTCTATTTTATAATCTGGTAAATGTAAGTTTTTTCTTACACCAACACTTTCTTTAATTGTAAAATAAGATATATACATATAAAAAAAACTCATTCATTAATCACATCTGGCATAGTGGTCCAAAGCCACATTTTCTAACCTCCTTCACGAAGTTCGAAATCAGGCTTTGCTGACTCGATAACACGGAAAAATTAACGCTAATTCAACTTTTGTCCAAATCATTTTGTAACTAAAAAAAAAAACGTAATTAAAACTTTAATAAACATTGTGCTTGTGGTCCTCACAGCGTGCACCTGTATCGAGATTTAAAAAGATGAATCAGAATAAATGCTAATTAATTGAAAAATTAAGGCATCCAACAGTGGCTAAGCACCTGCTAAGTGCTAGTAGAACAATAATTACAGATATAAAATTAATAAATTTGGGCCAGAAAGAGAAGAATAAAGTAAATATGAGGGAGTGGGTAAAGAAATTAGAAAGGCACCAAATAAGGAGTGGCCATGAGTGCAAATAAAGAAGATAGAAGACTAGAGTGGCAATGTGAAGTCGTACGGAAGTCATATATATATATGTCGAAATAGTAAGAAATGGAAATTAGGAATTCTGTACATATGTACTTTTTGTTTGTGTAAAATGATAGAATTGTGTTTTACAAAACCATGTTTGCTGACAGTTTGTTACTAATTTGTATGTTATCACATCCGAGAAAATGGCTTCTCTTTTTTTTTTGCAACCGAGTTAGCTCGGTGGTTTTGCGACATCTCTATCGAGAATTTGTTTATGTTTCACAATCAGCACACGAATATTGTGAAAACGGTATAATGACCACAAATAAATAGTGCAATGTCAGCCTAGTATACATAATTCTGTACACGAATTAATGATAATATTAAACTATGAAATTGCATTTTTTTCTTACAACAACTAAATTACTTGTATAATTTTGTCAAAAATTTAAAAATGATATGACATTGATACCAAAAAAAATAACTTAAACTACTTGGTTGCTTCAAATGAGCCAAGCCGGGAGAATGGATTTGCATTTTGTACCGCAAAACAATTAACTAAGTAGTTTACAACTCTATATATAAGCATAAGTATGTATTTAGTCCAAAATTTAGAATTTTTTTTTAGTTTTACCAATGGTCCTCCTATAGATTGAGACGAAACTTGACTGGAACATAGTTAGACTCAGATATGGTTACATATCTTAACTAACATACATAGAATTATAGAAGCAAAGTGTAATAGAAATGAATATTAAAATTATCTTAATGGTAATAAATAATTATATAGTATTAACATTTTTAGCAAAAACAAATCTTATTCACCAAATAAAGAATTAGCTAGTTACCTTCAAATTCGATGTCTATGGTCTTCTACCGTTGATGTTATTTCAAAAATGTTAAACCCTTTAATTTATAGTCAATAATTTCGTGGAATATGTTACAAAAAAAAAGAAAGAAAAAAAATTCCTGAAATGTTTTTTTGGTAACGGAGATCAAACAGAGCGTGTGAGATTCTTGTCCGAGAGGAGCTGGCAACCGACAAGGTTGCTGCCTGTCTTTAAGTGCATTTGCTTAACTAACTTTGACGGACACCGGATCTATAGGTTGTCGGTAATAATGCATACGTGTCATGATCTCAACGGTTAAGCTTTAAAATCCACGTTGTCTTGTAATTTACGGTGATGAGGTACGTGATGACGTAAATGGTTGTATTACACTACTTTCAAGTTTAAATAATCACTCGAATTAAAAACTTCGTTATATATCTACATTTGTTGTTAAAAAAAGGTTGATTGTAATGTCTATTACTTTTTTATATAGTGTAGATTAGATATATGCAACACCACGGAAAACAAAATTTCAATTAAAATAACCATGACATAGGAATATATTCTCCACCAATAATTTTTCCTCTTATAATATAAAAAATTTACCAAAAGAAGAATGGATATCTTGTAATGCTGTTTCTATAATTAACTATACGCATGTACTTTAATTAATAACTTTGGTCTAGGGTTATAGACTTTTATTGGTATAGAGGAAAAAAATGGCAAAAGAGAAAATTCGTAAACCCCCAAATTATATATCATCAGTTCATGGATAGAAGAATTATATAATTTTTTTTTTTCTTACATCTTTTTTGTTATTGGCTCCTGATTTCATAAATTTAGGGTTTCCAAGAATTCTTCATTTCTCTCTTGCCGACTCTTCCCAAAGACTCTCTCTCTCCCAACTCTATCCTGTTCTTTCTCTTAGAGGCACAAATCAATCAAAAGCATACAGCAAAACAAAGGGGGTAATCTTTTTCTCCTCTATGCCTAAATTTCTGATTGATCTCTTCTCTATTTATAGTAGAAGGTCGATATTGTTCTTGTTCTTCATGTTTGCTGTTCTTGCCATAAGAAATCTCTCTGGATAAAATTCAATAATGGCTTCCACCTAATTTCCTTTCATGGATACTTTATTTTACTGAAATCAACTATTTTTCATTTAATTCTCATGGAATTTTTTTTTATCAAAATTAAGTGTTGATTATAACTTAGGGTTATAAATTGAATTAGGAGATAATGGTGAGGGGAAAGACAGAGATGAAGAGGATAGAAAACGCGACGAGCAGGCAAGTGACTTTCTCCAAGAGAAGAAATGGACTTTTGAAGAAAGCTTTTGAATTATCAGTCCTTTGTGATGCTGAAGTTGCCCTAATCATCTTCTCTCCTAGAGGCAAACTCTATGAATTCTCTAGCTCATCCAGGTTATCATCTACTTAAGTTTTATGTATTTACACATTTCTGTATATTGATCCATTGCATCATAATCGGTTTTGTCCATAAATTTTTTTACTGAAATCCATTACATTTTTTAGTCTAGACTCGCTTGGCATTGGTTGTTTTAATTTTAATTTTAAACGAAGATCCTTAATTTTAGAAAGAAAGAAAAATCAGATAGATCAGAAATAGAAAGTAAGGATTCGAGATTAAAACGTGGTTCGCACATGGACATGGGTAAATGTTTTTCCTTGAAGTTGCAAAATAAAAGAACGAAGATGTGTGTGGATAGATGATGAGATAGTTTGGAGTCAGGACAACTAACAGAAAATTCTATATATGTAGCAATAAGTTTGAGCACAGTCTTCTTACTCAAATTAGGCAATAAAGTCTCATATGAGATAGATATTCCATTTTTACTTGGTTCATGTTTGACCAGATTTAGAAAAAAAAAAAGGTTCCTTCTTAGAGGTGGGTTTTTCTATATTATATTTCTGCTTATGTGTGTATTTGTATTATGTACAAAGAACTTACACCCAAACACTTACTATTGTATTGATGTACTCGCAAATTTTTTTTTTTTTTCAAAGAGCATGTGCAATGGATAGAGCTCATCTAAATTATTTGGATACATATAATTTAATTTATCTTTTATTTACATTTTAGATTATGAAAAAAAATCAAAACCAATTACATTATGACATGTGTGATAGTAGTCTCTCAAGAGATTGTTAAGAGATTTGCATTGCACATGATCTAACTTATTTCTCTCATATTTTTTTATTATTTTTATTTTTATATTGTTGAGAATATCTGTGAAAACTTTCCACTATTATAAGAATATGAGATTAGACCGCTCATATTCAGATATATATGCATGAATTTGGTTATATTTTGTGATTTGAACTAACAGATTTCACACTAGTACTGATGAGATTTGAGTATTTTGATGTCATGGGAAGCTAAGTATTGCATTATATTTGCATGTATATCATTGTATATACATTCGAAACATTTTTCTAAACTCATTTATGTACATACATAAACAGCTAGGTATGATTATGACATATATTTTTATGCTCGATCACACTAGCTATGTAATACAAGTATAAAATGGTAATCAAAGAAAAATTATGTGCATGCCTTCTGAATATTTTTTTTTTCTTACATGTTCCGGTAAATATCCGATCAACGTTTCTTTAATTTATTTGTGTGTTTAAAAATATGTTTTTTTTTTAACTCTTGGGCAAAGAGAAATTTTAAAACCAAAACAGAAAAACACTAACGGTTTTTTTTTTTAAACCGTCAGTATACTAATTCATTCTGCCATTCCACTAATGCCATCCATAGTTTTATGTATTCTTTTTTTTATAATATACTATTTTGAATGTGTGTATATGTAGATTTATGTATCTATATATGTTCATGTAAGATTTATGTATGTTTATTGAGGTAACAAAGAAGCATTTGCAACAGCAACAGTATACACCCACATAGTACAAAGGCCTCTTTATCTCAGTGATGACAGTGAAGGAGTCATTAGCATGTGTCTAGATCAGAATATGTTGATTCTTTTTATGCTTTCTCTATTTGTTATATTTTTGTGTAGTTAGAAATTATTATGTATGCGTGTTATGTGATTATTTAAATATATGTACGTACTTTATTAGACCAAAAACAATGGTATTTTAGTACTTAAGCAAGACAGGGGTTAATTAATCACAATTAACTAGGTGTGAATTACTTAACTAAGCCATATCCATTTGACTAGACGCTTTGATTCAGTACATCAACATTTTATATTCCCTCCAATTTTTTTACATTTGATGTTTTAGAAAGAAAAGCTTATTCTAAATTAGATGATGTTTTTAACATTTAATGCGAATTAATTAATTTTTTATTAGTTTTGACGATTTATATTCTGCATATTGTTATATTATTGGCTGAATCTTATTGAAATAGATAATAAATGATGTTTTAGTATAGAATTGAACAAAAATTAAATTTCTTAATTTGTATTTAAAAATCTTAAACATCATGTATTAAGAAATAGAGAGGGTAGTAATCTTTTAGTTATTGAGGTCTTTACTCTATTAGTGTTCTAAAAGGCGGTTTAGGTGGTCACCTGGGCTCCGACTAAGCGCTAGGCGCTTAGGTGACGCCTAGATGACCGCTTCGACCATCTAAAATATCACTATCATTAATGCTTGAGGGATCTAGCATGGACTTTTGCTTCCTAATAATTTTGAAAATTTCAGTATACCAAAAACAGTAGAACGATATCAAAAGCGGATACAAGATCTCGGGTCTAACCATAAGAGAGATGATAACTCACAGGTAAACAAACTTTCTTAAATTGTTTGTGTATAATCATTATCATTTTTGCATTTGGAAAAAAAATCTTTTAAATCCATATGCATAAAATATTCTTCTCATGAAATGATCTAGTAATTAAAAAGAATTTCTATATCGATCGATGGTCGTCATAATCTGTTAGGATTCATCGTGTATTTATTAATCCATTCTTGTACCACTTTTAAAAAATGAATATACATGTAAAAATTTATGCTTTATTTATCGAACATGGGTGAGAAAAAATTTGTACTTACAATTTTAGTTAAATATTGTATTTCTATAGATTATCACAGTTTTGTTTTTGTTTTTCTTTTACATGATCAAAATTTGTTGACAGCAGTCGAAGGATGAAACCTATGCCTTGGCGAGAAAGATCGAACATTTGGAGATTTCGACACGGTTTTGAATTCAAAATATTTACGAATATTTTGTTATAAATAGAAATTGTAGGTGTCTATTTACCAATATTTTTTATTTTCTTAAAATACACATTTGCAGAAAAATGCTGGGAGAAGGACTTGACGCATCTTCTATAGAAGAGTTACAACAATTGGAGAACCAGTTGGACAGAAGCTTAATGAAAATAAGAGCCAAAAAGGTAACTTACATTTACATATATGATGTGATCATCATATATTTATTGTTTCATCGAGATTTACGACTATGACGTGGTGGTTTGGTTCGATTTCTGTTTATAAAAAGAAAATTCTATTATCACAAATGAGCTGATTATGTAAACAATAAACACACACATACTTGAAGGCATGCATGCAGCATGCATATGTGATGAGAAAAGGACCTTATATGTTATCTTTTATGAGTCTTTTGTTTTTTTGAAGATATCTTTTATGAGAGTTCTTATTTACTTGTTTTTACCAAAACTTATTTAGCTATTTTATTTCTTAATTTCAGTATCAATTATTACGCGAAGAAATTGAGAAGTTAAAAGAAAAGGTACCACATGTAGCTTTTCATACATCTAGAAGTCTATCTAAATGTATTGGTTAGGTACTAAACATATTTCCTTAATTAAACGGTTAACCATATTTTTTTTGTTTCTTGTCAATACTTTAGGAGAGAAACCTCATTGCACAAAATAAAATGCTGATGGAGAAGGTACATATTAATATTAACATACGGCTTCTTTAGAACTACTATCGTACTGATTTGTATTATAATTCTATTATTATTAATTTATCTGTTTTAATTTTTTTCTTTTCAAAACGAGTGTTTTAATTTGACTATTTGAGGAATGTGTGAATGAAGTATGAGATGCAAGGAAGAGGAATAATAGCAAGAACATCCTCAGAACTGGACATAGATAACAATGATGATATGGAAGTGGTGACTGATTTGTTCATTGGACCTCCTGAGACTCGACACTCCAAAAAGTTTTCTCCTCCAAACTAACACATAGTACATGTTTATATATTTATCAAAGATATTATCAACTTAAGATATTATGTAGGGAAAGTCTTTTTCCCTGGAAGAAAAATTGATGTTGCTTATTGTATTTAGCTTTGGTTTTTTTTCTTCTTTTGTATCCTCTAACAACTTTGAAATCCTAAAATAATTTCTTGTTTAATTTAACATAAATGTTTCATTTCATTTTTAATAAATATTTAGAAAATCATGTCTAACTAATTTAATCTATATATTATATGTTGGGGACAAGTTTTTGGATCAGACAGATGATTCAATATGGGTGATATTTTGCCGGAAAAAATAAGATAGGCTCGTGAAGAGTGGCTCGACCGGTGGAGAGTGAAAATAATCCGGGTGCCTAGCTAGGATCGGTTCCCTAGCTATCATGACTTTCACGGATAAGATCTTCATGTTTCATGCTAGCCATGAAGATGATGTATGTAAGGGAGTTGGGAGCGAAGTCCTGAAACAATGGTATATGGTCAGGATAATATTGTACTCCCTCCGTCCCACAAAGATGAATTTTTTAGAAAAAAGTTTTGTCTCAAAAAATTATAAGTTTTGTGTTTCCAATGTCAAATGTAAAACAGTTTACCTATTTTACCCTTACTAAACAACGATAAATAATATACTCTTTAAAATATGTTAAAAGGTTAAAAGGTTAAAATTGTCATTATACATTATTTTTTAAAGAATGTGAAATTTTTAAAAAATTTATCTTTGTAGGACGAAGAGAGTATCAGATTAGATGATGACATTTTTTTGGATGTTGGAAATGATTTATGAGGAATAATGGATCAATTGGAAAGATTTTCGAATCCGCGTGGAGGTATGACCAAGTGAAAGACTTGGGATTTCGTGGAAAAGTTGCATTGCACCCGCCTCTTTAAAGTCCTTTCACTTGGTCTAGACCCAAAAATCGTCGCTTTATGGGAATTCATGGAAAAAGGGATAGCTAGCTAGTTGGTTTTCTTGTGGTCGTTCTTTGTTAACGTGTTATGTACGTGACCTTGTTTGGTTCGTTATTTCCAAGTAGCTGACAATTCATTTCCTTCCAAAGACCATCATTTTGAAGTAAAATTCCATGGTTATAATTTATGTTTTTATATCATTTTTTATAAAAACAGAATGACTGTCTTCTATGTTTTATGTAATAGTTATTTGTCGAACCTACATACAAATAAAACAAAGCAAAAAGTACTTCAAACTATTTTCCAGGTACTATATTTCTGAAATTAATGTTTCTATAAAATATATTTTGATTTTATAATACCAATTACGGTGATTTTAAAGAAAATAAATCACTATATAATATCAACAATTTAACTAAAAAAACAAATGAAGAAAGAATTAAAGAACCCAAAATATCGAAAATGAATAATAAAAGTCAAGGTCAACATACTGGACTCTTAACGATAACGACTAAGTCAACATTTGAAGAAATAACTTGTCTAATAAGTTCTTCTTTTTTCTTGGATTAAATACTTGTTTGAAGGTAATTCAGAGACACTGTCTTCGTCTTCGTCTTTGCTATGGCCCTTACTTCGCTTCTCAAAACCCTTTTCCGACGAAGAAAGAAGAAGAAGTCTACTGAGTTTGTAAGCAGTACGTATTCACGTTTCTTCTTCTCAAATCTCTTCCTCACATCTGATACAAAACCCACTAATTTATGTTTAATTTCACTTGTCTCTACTAGATTCTGCAGTTTTCGAGTTCGACTTCGACACTGTTAAAGCTGCAACAAATGAGTTCTCAGAACTGGTTGGTCATGGCGGATTTGGTTCTGTTTACAAGGTTTTCTCTTTAATCTTTTAGGAATTCCTAGACATGTTGTTTTAATGGTTCTTATAATTTTGAGTCCAATAGGGTTTACATCGATTTCTATGATTGGTTTTAAACGCTAGCAACCGCAAATGGGTGGTAGCGGGAGAACCAATCAAGCTCTAACACTCGACTTTGGATCCGTTTTCATATATTTTTAGTGTTTGGTGTGAAATTGTAATTAAAACATCCTTTTGACTTATTTTTCAGGGTAGGCTACAAAATGGACAAGAAATAGCAGTCAAGATTTTGTCTAAAAGTTCAATTAGAACTGAGACACAGTTTCATAATGAACTTAATATTTTGTCAAAGCTTAAGCACAAGAATCTGATCAACCTTCTTGGTTTCTGCACTAAACGAGACCAACATTGTCTTGTTTATGAGTTCATGCCAAACTCAAGCCTCGATTGCTTTCTACTCGGTTAGACAATCAAAAACATAGTATCCTTCTAAATCCAGTCTCGTCTAGTTTCAAGTTCTCATAATTTAGTCGTTGTGATAATATGTTACAGATCCACATAGAGCTTCTCAGCTAAGTTGGGAGATGTGTCGAAACATTGTTGATGGCATAGCTCGAGGGTTACGTTACCTTCATGAAGAATCCGGGTTATGTCTCGTTCACCGCGACATTAAACCTCGAAACATTCTATTGGATTCAGATTTGAAACCGAAAATCATGGGGTTTGAATTGGCGAGGATGATGCAACAATGTGAAAACGAAGCTGAGTCGACTGTAATTGTCGGTACCATGTAAGTGAAGTTTATTGATTTAACACACTTAAGGAAAAACGTTTTGAACATGTTTAGAGACTTATGCATAAAACATTTTGAGATAATCTACAGAGGGTATATAGATCCAGAGTACTTGCGAAGCGGGCGTGTTTCTGTCAAATCTGATGTTTATGCCTTTGGAGTTACAATCTTGACGATCATTACCAGAAGGAAGGCTTGGAGTGTTGACGGAGACTCTCTAATCGAATATGTGAGTTTACATTAAAGTAAAAGTGTCTATGATGGTTAAGTGTTTCCTTAATCGTAGTTCTTGTCTTCGTTTAGGTTATGAGATGCTGGAACAGAGGAGAAGCCATAGATGTGATCCATGAAGTGATGAGGGAAGAAGAAAGAGAAGATTCGATAAGCGAAATCTTGAGATACATTCACATTGCTTTGTTATGTATCGATGAAAATGCAGAGACAAGGCCGAGTATTGATAGAGTTCTTCACTGGTTTAGTTGTATCTCTACTCCTTTGCCGGAACCAACCAGTGGTAATCGATTTCTTGGAAAGGAAGAAACCAATTGGCCCTGGTCACTGTCTCTATCTCCCGGACATAGCTCTGTTACGTCACCCATATCTTCACGTTAAGGAGATTGAGTGCTCTGTTTTATTAGACTGATGAGTGTTTATGATGATAATAATTGTTCGTAATTTGCTGTTGTTTTCTTCTGTTTGTGCCCAAATCCAGTAAGACCATATAGGACAATTCAATAATTATTTTGTTACTCTGTTTTCTATTGACAGATCTCAAATCTTACAGAATAATATCATTTTTTTTAAAGGACACTCTGAGCATCACATAAGCAGTATAAGTAAATACACCTAATACAGGGGATAGCAACATTTTTACCAACCAAGTATTGTTATTGTTCATCGTGCTTCCAGTTCTGTTTGCGTTGCTTCATTTATGGAGAACACGTAGTCAGACGACACTAACTGTTGATCCCCGTTCAACACGTTAGAGAAAGTTGGTTGTTTCGGAATCGGAAGAGTGTTATCGTTGCTCAACATATAGACGATTTGCGAAATCGTGGGTCTATCTTTAGGATGATCTTGAACACAAAGAAGTGCGATGTGAACACACCGAATCACTTCTTTTACGGGATAGGAGCCACGCAGTGCTTCATCTATGATGCTTACACCTTGTGTTTCGCACCAAGACTCCCATGCCTGAAGATGATCAAGAACATATATATTTTGGGATTGATCTAAGGTAAGTTACTTTTTATGTATGGTAGATAAATGATATTGAACTATAGAATCACTTACATAAGCAATAAGGCTGTGTTTTTGGTCGTTGTGAACAAACCTTGTCGCCTTTTTGCCTGATATGATCTCCAATAACAACACTCCAAAGCTATATATATCCGATTTCTCTGAAATCAACCCGCCTAATGCATATTCCGGTGACATATAGCCGCTGAAATTAACCCAATGTTTTAGCTTTTTTCAACCATCACTCATAAATTGTAAAGACAAACGGAATGAAAAAGACACCATCTTCATTTTACGTATGTGTTATACTATTTGTAAATAATGTTTGTGAAAAAATGTGTGTTAATGAAAATACTCATAAACATGATCATAAACCCAAAATTCTAGCGTGAGAAACAAATGAACACATAGGAGATAAACACTTACAAGTTCCGACGATTCTTTGGGTGCTATCATCGATTTGCTTGCAACCAAAGATCCTGGCGGTTCCAAAATCCGAGATCTTAGGATTCATCTCATCGTCGAGAAGAATATTGCTTGCCTTAAGATCTCGGTGAATGATCCTGAGACGTGAGTACTCATGCAGATATTGAAGTCCTCTTGTCGTCCCAGTTACTATTTTCATACGCGTCTCCCAATCCAATTCCCTAGACTTTAAAGAATCTGTATATATGTGCATATCAAAAGAATTCAAACCAATATTTATGGTTTCAAATTCAAAATTTAGTAGTTTTGAATAAATATATTCACCACTCACCAAAGAGTAAAACATCAAGGCTCTTATTCGACATGTACTCGTAAATTAGAAGTTTCTCGTCGCCCTCAACACAATATCCTAAAAGTCTCACCAAGTTCTTGTGTTGAAGCTTTATGATCAGAACGACTTCATTCTTGAACTCTGTCAGACCTTGACTTGATTTTTTTGAAAGCCTTTTGATGGCCACATCCATCCCATTCAGTAGCATTCCCTGCCAAGAAAAATCACTTCTATCAAAATATTTTATCGTAAGATTATAACCAAGTAGATAATTAAACTAGCTCTGTGAACACTTTAGTAACTTTAGCCAAACCACCTTAAACGCTCAGTATTAATCGTATTGTTTAATTATTACCTTGTAGACTGGACCAAAACCGCCTTCGCCTAGCTTATTTTCCTCAGAGAAAGAATTTGTTGCAGCCATAATGTCATGCAGATTTAGGTAACACATATTTTCTCCATCATCATCAATTAGGCCACCTTCTAATAGCTCTCTGCTCTGTTTTTTGTCTGCGTATAACTCTTGTTTCAGAAACTAGTGAACAAATTATAGTCAAAAGTTTATGCAAAATGCCAAAACCACCTCACCTCTTTTTGTTCTTTTTCTTCTTCCTCTTTGAGAAATATAACAATACAAACCAACGAAAAACGCAGCGGCTGCTATTAGTGATGAGAGTACAGCGGGTAACACAATTCTTCTGACTTTAGAACTCTCTGTTTCTCCTGAGTAGAATATGAAGCTTAAAATTATCTCTACGAATTTGTCTCATTTTTTAATGGAAAATGCTTACCCTTGTTTGAAGCGGCAAGTCTAAGGAAAAAAATGTGTCCCTCTGTGTTATTTGCATCAAGTTGTTGCAGATTGAAAGCATCTCTTGTCCACATCAAACACTTGTTTCCATCATATGCGTAGGCCTGGCAAGAACAATTAGCTAGGCAAGCTGAGGCACAGCTCGTAACAAGACTTGCCGTCAAGACCAATGTTGTTGTTGGATCAGTGGCTAATTTCATGTTTTCAATAGGAAAAAACTCGTCATTTCCCTTGTCACATTGAAGATTTATTTCCCTTTTACAACCACCAGAGTAATCATTCGAGTCCTCGCCAAATGCTTGTTTGAAACCAGGAACACATCTACAGGGTGTATCCGCTTGTTCATCGCAAATCCCAAACGATCCACAAGAATTATAAACCGCACATGTATCTCTTGGTTGAGACCATATCGCACCCCACAACTGGATGTCAACTAAGAAAACGTGCAGCATGAACCGCCCGGAAACATCCATGACCAAACGATATGTGCTATAGTTTTCTGCTGAATAGGTGATGTAAGACTCATCCAGGTTCAATTTGAAACTCAAGGAAATAGCCAAAATGGAGACTCTAAATTGATCATCCCATGGCCCGCTGGACCAATATGACTTAGATCCATTCCAAACCGTTATGAGGGAGTGTGTTGTATTAGGGTCAACCTCGAGAGAGTATCGACCCGGTGATGGATCTGTCAAGCCTTTCCAAGACGTGAGACGTTGGCTTCCCAGTTTGATGTTGTTAAACCTGATTTTAGCTCCTGGAAGCCAAGTATCCGAGGGATGATCAAAACTCTGCCACAACACAGCTGCAGAAGAATTTGGCCCATCTCTCAATACGAGATTACCATTATCAAGCAGAACAGCTTGAACATCTGTGCTCCTACTAGAATTAACACCGGTCGACCAAAATGTTCTACTAGTCATATTATCATGAAGGATTAAGTTTCCATCTAATATTTTAAAAAAGAAGGTAGCCCTCTGGAGAGGAGATTCTCGATTTGCGACCCAAACAATAGTTCGTGGAGAGACTTGCTTGTACCACATGCCTATGTAGAATCCAATCATACCTGGTGTTGGGTTGAAGAGACCGAGTTCGAAAATATCACCACTGGAAACAATGGTCTTAAGTCCTGAAAGAGGTTGATCGGTAGAAATGGTGTCAGTTGCAGAAGAAGCTTGAAAAAACAAGAACATCGTCAAGACACCCAAGTATAACACGTTATTCTTGCAAGTCTCCATGTTCGCGTGTGATAACAAGATCGTTTTGAAGATTTGTGTTTGTGTAGCAATTATATAAGCCATGTTCCGCGCATAGACGCTTCGTCTGCGATCGTTGACTGACAAAAAAAGCTATTAATCGGATGATTTTGAAGACGCCGGAAATAACAGCAACACCACAAGAAACTTTATTATGAAGCCTCTTCTTCTTCCTCCTCGACAACCCTCTTCTTTTCCACAACGCCAACTTGGTAGCCTTCTTTCCTTCTAAAATTCGTCTCGGCCAACGAGTCAACTCTTACATTATGACCGACGACAAGTCAACTCTTATCGTTGGAAAGTTAACAACATAACACATTTAAATAATAATATTACACCTATTTTATTATACAAAGTTTGAACCGTTTCTCAGTCGATTACGAGAAAACAAAAACCTCTTAACTTTAAACCATAAACCATAAACCTCTTATGTCTCTCTTTTTTTATCTACATATCCCCTTCTCAATTAATGAAATGTGATCTGACAATTTTACCTTTACTCTTTCTTTTTTATTTTAATTAATTATTTTCTGAAATGAAAACAAAAAAAATCGAAAACAGAAAAAAAAAAATAAAAACATTTCTCGCTCTCGAGCTCCAGCTCTCCTCGCCGGAAAAATCGATTTCAGTCGCCATTGCAGCCGTATCCTCTCCTCCGGCGAGCTGCGTCGAGATAGAGAGAAAAGGTATGTTGTTTGAGCTGCATAGAGCTTCAAATTGAAGTTTTGGATTTAGAAATATAGGAGATTGAATCCAATTAGATTTGAAATTAAGCAAATTGTGTTTGGGTATGCACATTGGAAGTTTATGCATAGTTTCTGGGTCGAATAGGTCTATAAATGGGTAAGAAATGGATAACAAAAACTGAATCATAGTGAATTGTAGGTTTGAACCCGAAACCATTCGATTTGAGTTCTTGTCGCGAAAGTACAACTGGTAGAACTGGGTAGAAATGTACCTGAATCTATTGAAAAATATATACGTAGTATTACTAGTTATACTAGTATTACCCAGGTGTATGTAGTATTACCAGTTACACTAGTATTACCCATTTACATGTAGTATTACCAGTTACACTAGTAGTACCCATATACATGTAGTATGACTAGTTGTACTAGTATTACCCAGAATTGTAGTACAACTAGTATAACTGACAGAGTTTTTGTATTGTTTTTGCAGGATACAATGATGGAGAACGTGATCATATATTTTAAATGCAAAGGTCGCATGTATAGCTTGATGATGAATACATTAGGGGGGAAAATAACTCTCTCCATGTTAGAAGGTAGGATATGCACGAAGCTTGGATTAGATGAAAGTAAGGTTAAATTGCAAATGAGGTACAATGCTGTGCTGATGGGACCAACTGAAGAGATTTACATTAGTGATGATGAGGATGTAGGTGTCTATATATCTTCAGGTGAAAATAACTGTAGATATGTTTTGAATGTGGACGTCATCACTCCACCAGAATTTGCCGAGCAACTGTTGAGAGTGGAGCTCCTCAATAAAAGTTCTGTTGGTAAGAACTATGCGGAATTGGATTCAAATGAGGATGAAATGAGAGATAGTGCTGCCATCGTTTTGTGTGAATGCGAGGAGGAACAAGGAACAGTACCAAATGAGGCAATAATGGAGGTTGATGATACTCAAGATCCTGAGATTGGATCACGTGATGAATCTATGGATAGATGTGATGATAGGGGTGATGAATACGTTGAGCCACCGCCTGTTGTAGAAGCTGGTCAGTTTAAAAAAGAATGGGAAGACGGTATTAGACTGATTTTACGACAAGAATTTCCAAGCAAGGCGGCATTGCAGGAAGTGGTGGACAAAGGTACATTTGCTAACAGTTTTGGTTATGTTATTAAAAAGTCTGATAAGGAGCGGTATGTCCTAAGGTGTTCTAAAGAAAGCTGTGCTTGGCGTATACGAGCTTCAAATATTCGGAATACAAGTATTTACTCGATTAGAAAGTACAACAAGATGCATACTTGTACCCGGATAAGTAAGAGTAGTACAAGGATGAGGAAGAGGAAAGGTACTCCGGAATTAGTAGCAGCTCTTCTTCATGATACTTTTCCAGGACAAATGGAAACTCCAGTTCCTAAGGTTATCATGGAGCTTGTTCAGACGAAATTAGGTGTGAAGATATCGTACTCCACCGTAATTAGAGGGAAAAGGCAAGCCATTTGTGATTTAAAAGGTAGCGCGGAAGATAACTACAAGGATATCAATTGTTATTTGTACATGCTGAAGAAGGTAAATGAAGGTACAATAACATATCTGAAATTGGATGAGAAAGATAAATTCCAGTACCTATTCATAGCTTTGGGAGCTAGCATTGAAGGCTTTCAAGTGATGAGGAAAGTGATAATTGTGGATGCAACACATTTGAAGAACGGATATAGTGGTGTTCTAGTATTTGCCTCAGCTCAAGACCCAAATCGTCATCATTATATCATAGCGGTTGGCGTACTCGACAGTGAGAATGATGCTAGTTGGGGATGGTTCTTCGAGAAGCTGCTAACAGTTGTACTCGATACTCCAGAATTGGTATTTATGAGTGACAGAAATTGAAGCCTCATCAAAGGCATACGTAATGTGTATTCCGCGGCTCATCACGGGTATTGTATTTGGCATTTATCCCAAAATGTGAAAGGTCATGCCACTAACGTCAACAGAGACGTAGTCGCATGGAGATTCATGGAGTTAAGTCGGGTTTACACCATGTCTGAATTCGAGAGGGAGTACATAATTTTTAAGCTAAGATATCCTTATGCGGCCAATTATTTGGAGGATACAACCGTGAAAGAAAAATGGGCTAGGTGTTGTTTTAGAGGACAACGATACAATTTGGACACAAGCAACTGTGTGGAATCTTTGAATTCTGTTTTCCTCAATGCAAGGAAGTATTCTTTAATACCCATGCTTGATGCGATCATGTCCAAGATTTCTGTTTGGTTTAATGAACATCGGAAAGAAGCCGCGTCAGGATCAAATGAGAATAAGTTGGTGCCTTTAGTGGAGAACTACTTGCATGATTTATGAGTTGAAGCTGAGAAACTAAAAGTGACGGAGCTAAACACATTCCAGCTTGAATACAATGTCAGGGGTAGTGAAGGGAAAGAATATTTTGTCAACTTGCTCTTGAAAACTTGCAGTTGCAAGGTGTTCGATATCCAAAAGTATCCTTGTGTGCATGCACTAGCCGGTTTCATTACCTTCGAGAGCGATACAACAAGAACTCGAAGTATGGAAATACATGAATTGGTTTTAAAGTATTATTGGGCGGAGATGTGGGCATTGGCGTATTATAGGACTATTTATTTAGTCCCGGATAAGTCACAGTGGGATATCCCAGATGAGATCAAAGCGTTGAAGGTATTACCTCTGCCTCGGAAAAAGAAGAAGGGTAGAACAAAAGTGTTGAGGCTTCCATCCACCGGAGAAAGGCGTCCAAAACGCCAAAGGACTCAAAATAAAAGGAGGCCGAGGTAATCGCTGCAATGGTTGTTATTTGGCAACCATAGTATTTGATTTTATCTGAACTTTATGATTTGTAAACCATATTTGCGTTGTACAACTATGTAACACTAGATTTGCCTCCTGTAATACTATGTTTTAATTCACTGGCGTAAGGGTAATACTAATATAACATGTATTACTAATGAAGAAATTAGGTAACACTGGTATAACTAGTATAACTATTGAAGAAATTACTTAATACTGGTATAACTAGTATAACTACTGAAGAAAATTATGAAATTTGATATTTCTAATTTTTTCAACACCAACTATTACATAGACTATTAAGTGATAGTGAACTCTTACAAATGATTTAAAACGAAGTAAGATAGGGAAAAAAAAATATTTTCATGTAAGATTGTTTTATGAGACAACATCCAACATATTTCTTATACTTTTAAGCTCATTTTTGATATAAACTCCAATTTAGGATTGATATTTTACAATTTTAAATATTGTTAACATTTGATTACATTAAACCTTTATAATTCAATAATAATAGAGTTCCCTCAAGTGTACAACTAGATAAATCATTTTTAAGGATGTGTAATACTGGTTAAATTTGAAAACACCAAAAGTATAACTATGTGGAAGATTTGTACAATTGAAAACTAGGGTACAACTAAGTTTAAAAAAACGGCGCACATGTTAAAAAAACGGCGCACACGTGGGCATATAATTCCAATTTCTCCCCCCAAATTTTTTTTCCCTCCAATTTTTCCCCTCAAAATCAACAAAAACAAATAACTAAAATTCTTTTTTTCTCCACTTCTAATTCACGTCAGACTTCTCCTCTCTCTCTATCTCGAAATTCACTCTCTCTCTCTCCAAGCTCAAGAAAACGAGATCCAACATTTTCCTTCTCTTCAATCTTTCTCTCTTTTTCAATTATGGATCGATTGTGTGAGAGAGATCCGTGGTATGATGAGATGAAGAACGCTAAGAAGATTTATGATCAATTAGAAGAAGTCGGAATGATGGAAGGAATTCCGAATAGATGTCCTTGTGGTGGACGCATCCTCGACAAGATCTCTGAGAACGATGGTGACAAAGGGAAAAGATACTATCAATGCAACGTGTATAAGGTAAATAGATAGTATCATTATTGACGCGAAAGTAAAACTGGTAGAACTGGTAGAACTGGTAGATCTCTGAGAACCCAGATGTATGTAGTATGACTGGTTAAACTAGTATTACCCGTAAACATGTAGTATTACTAGTTACACTAGTATTACTCAGATGTATGTAGTATTACTAGTTACACTAGTATTACCCAGATGTATGTAGTATTACTAGTTACACTAGTATTACCCAGATGTATGTTGAATAATTGATCTCGATATAGAATTCTTGTATTGTAGAATGATGGTTTACACATTCGGAAACTTTGGGATAAAGCTATGGAAGAAGAGGTGACTAACTTAAGGGAGGAGGTTGATACCCATCACAAAAAGATTCAGAGCTTGGAGTACTATCAAGAAGAAATGCGTTCGGAGTTGAAAGGTAATGGTAAGGAGATCCAAAAACTGAAGGAGTTAGTCGCTCATCTAGCGGAGAAATGCATTCGGAGTTAGTCGCTCACTAATGTGTAAGCTTATTTTTTGCTTTGTAAGACTTGTCTATGCTTTGTAAGACTTTTCTATGATTTGTGAGACTTTCCTATGCTTTGTAAGCTTATTACCATTATCAGTATTACTAGTTTTACACGTATTCCTTAATTAGTAATACCAGTTTTACTAGTATTACCAGTATTACCATTATCAGTATTACTAGTTTTACCCGTATGTCTTAATTAGTAATACCTGTTTTACCCGTATTCCTTAATTAAATTTATAAAACTAACTTAACAAATCCAAATTCAAATCCTAACAAGACAAATCCAAATTCAAATCCTAACATAACAAATCCAAAACAATTAACATAACAAATCCAAGTTCAAATCCAAACATCAAAGAGATAAATCAGTCAACCAAGCTGTCTCTTGCTCCGAGTCGTCATCTTTGTGACTTGTGGGTCACCATCCTTCTCTTGGGTAATATCTTTTGGGTCACCATCCTTCTCTTGGGTTATCTCTTTCGGGTCACCATCCTTCTCTTGATTCTTCTCTTCTTGATCCTGCCATTGAACAAAGTTATATCACAGTAATTCCAGTATTACTCAGTTATACCAGTATTACTCAGTTATACCAGTATTACAAATCGTACCTTTCTCTTCTCTGCTTTCTGCGCCTCCCTGAATGTTTCCAACGATTTAACTCTTTCATCCAACGAGATAAATGTATCATCCAACGATGAAATCATTACTAAGATTTCATTCAGCTGATCTGTCATTTCAACTTGCATGTCTTGAATCATCCCAACCACAGCAGCCAAACTCAGGAGTTCTTGTCCATCTACTACGGGAATATCGTCACCACCCGCAATCTCTGGTCCTGTGATGATTCCTCTTACCTGTAGATCCTGTTGGTACAACTCTTCAAACCTGATTAGACGGCCCTCTTTATGACGCTTCAACCAACTTTCCACCACCGGATCAGCCATGTCAACGTCGTGTTCTTCTTCCGTGATTGCGCTCATAAGTGCGTGCTCTTCAATTCTAGGTGAGACGATACAATCAATGACCTGTAAACATAAACAAATATGGATTATTATAATTAAATAGAATAGCAAACGTTTCAAAAAGCATAATATATAGGACAACTAACCTGAGTTGTACCCAATTCATGATTAATATTATCAAGAGGAATGCCTTTCAAATGGTTCTTCTTGAATTTCACCTTGCACATCTTAGGACATCTCTCATCTGCACCTGCAATGTCCTCAATGAATGTCTCCCTCAACAGTGGGATTGCCTCGAATGCAAGAAGCTACAGAATAAAAAAAACATATATTTAGATGAAGAACAGTAATACAAGTATTACCAATTTTCTAATATGCAGTATTACCAGTTTTCTAATATGCAGTATTCCCATTATTACCAGTATTCCAAAAAATCACCAATTACTATAACTTGTAACTAACCTCTATCAAAAGACAAAAACCCGGAACCGACCATATGTACTTCTCGTTATCGGTGACCACACCATTGAAATGATTCATCGTGTGTGAGATGGTATCTAACATGTACTCGAAAGAATACCTCCCCCACTGAAAATTCCTACAAAACGTAAGATCATTCACAGCCTTTAAACAAAATTCATCCACTTGAGGTGCCTTTTCCCCGGTCTTGCTAGGCGCCACAATAATGCTGGTTAGGAAATAGAGCACCATCATCCTCAACCTATCTTTTGATCTGTCACCCTTCGGCACCATTTCTATGAGCTTCTTTCTCACGTCTTCACGTTTCACAGGAACATTCTTGAAATGCTTCCTCTTGAACTCCATACTTCCCACATTTTTATAATCAAGCGCATAATTCTTGCAATTGAAGCCCGATATCAATGCATGTTCCGATATACCATATCGGATTGGAACGCCATTGACGATGAACCACACCTCTTTCTTCCTATCAATGCGCGCCGTGCGAAGAAGGAGCATCCACATCCCCATAAGTCGGTGGTTTGGGTCTCTTGGCATGTGGAAGACGTGTTGAAAACTCGGATGATTCTCAAAAAATGCCCTCTCAGACTGGCTCATCGGAGGCTCCAACTCATCGAATGTAGTCAACACTTCGTGAATATAGCACCGAGTTGATAGCTTGATTTTCTTCACAAATTCTGAAGGCGGGAAATACATACCTAGCGGTGGTATTGCTTCTGTTTCCTTGTCGATCTCCTGCAACAGAACATACATTCATTCATATATCATTATTCTGCAAATAGTATTACCAGTATTACCAGTATTACCCTGAAAATATATACATAGTTGTACCCTAGTAATACCAGTTTTACCGAGAATTCAAACACATAGTTATACCCTAGTAATACCAGTATTACCCAGAAATCAAACATATAGTAATGCCCTAGTATTACCAGTTATACCCAGAATTCAAACACATAGTATTCCCAGTTCTACCAGTTATACCAATAAATAATAGTTTTACCCTGTTCTACCAGTAGTACCCAGATATACACATAGTTTTACCCTGTTCTACCAGTTTCACACCATTCAAATACTTACCATAGCATTTTCCGGCTGATTTTCCGGCGCATTTTCCACTGCAATCTCATCCTCCTTACTCTCATCGGAGGAGGACTCTTCGCCCAAGGATCTACTACCATCATCGAAGGAGGACTCCTCTCCTTCCTCATTCCCTTCCTCATTCCCTTCTTCTTTCTCTTTTTCTTTGTCTTCTTCTTTGTCTTCTTCTTCGCCCTCTTCTTCTTTGTCTTCTTCTTTGTCTTCTTCTTTGTCTTCTTCTTCACTCTCTTCTTCCTTATTTTTCTCAGAATTTTCTTCCTCCTTGTCGGACTCCATTGGGACTTGTTCTTCTTCAACTCCTCCTCCTCCCTCAATTATATTTTGCTCTGTCGGGTTTGGCTCCGAGGATGGCTGCGGTTGCTCAGTTCTCTGCTTTGCTCCTCCATCATCTACATCTTTTAGAAGCTCCGATACTCTCTTTCTCTTTTTCCCTTTTCCCATATTCTTCGTCTTAGGAGGCATATTGAATGAGAAAAGGATTCGAATTGAAGAAAATCAGAAATTGCAAACCGTTGAAGAACAATTGAATGAGAAAAGGATTCGAGAATCGTGGAGAAATAAAGGAGAGGAGACAAAGAAAACGGTCGGAGTGGGTTCTCGTTTGGAGTCGTGAGTTCGTGGGAGTTTGAAAAAAACGAAGGATTTCGATTTAGGGTTCGTGGGTGGGTTGATTGGGGATGGATTGGATTTAACCCGGTTTGGATGGTTAGATCCGAAAACTCTTCGGTTGGGTGGTTAAAACCCAGGTTTCTTTTGTAGTTTTCTTATTTTGCCTGGGGTAAAGAGGTAATTACCCTCAATTTTGATTTAAAATTAAATAAAAATAAAATTCTGTTTTTTCAAGGGAGATATGAGACTTCTGTTTGACAAAAGGGGATTCACGAGACATTTTCTCGTCGATTACGTTGATTCAATTTTCAATCATCAATAAATTAATACTATCAATCTACATTAGAATTGACAGCCACATTAGAATTTTTAAAAAAATTTAAGATACAGTATTGTTAATTGAAAGGAGTTTAAAATTAAATAGAACTTTATATCATAGTTTTTTTTACTAATAACAAAAACAAAATTAATTTAATATTAGCTTATGAAAGTTTTGTAAAGATGTTAAGACAGGGCCGGCTCAAAAAATTTAAGGACCCTGAGCTAAACAAAAAATTAGCCCTTATTTCTCATGCTTTTCAAAAAAAAAAAAAAATTTGGACCCTAATTTTAGTAAATTTAGTTATGATAAAAGACACAAAATTACAAGGACCCTGTGCATAAGTACCTAGGACACATGTATAGAGCCGGGCCTGTGTTAAGATAATTGTCTAAATAATAAATAATCATGTACTATAAGTTTGAATTAATGGGAAATTAATTTTGAGAGGCCCAACGTTTTGTTCTTTGAGACAAGAAATGGTCTCAATTTTTATTTTATTTTTTTCTTTATGAGAAATGGTCTCAATTAGCACTTCTTCTTCTTTCCAATCGATCTTTTTTTTTTTTTTTTTTCTATGATCTATGTTCTCAATTTTACCGGAATGTATCTTTGAGACAATTAAGTACTCTGATTTACGATAGACTTGTTAATTGAACCGACCGATTCATACCAAAATCAACTAACCAATGATTACCTTCGGTCAAAGCTTAAACCGGGCTATACTGTCTAACAACAGATCTAGTCAAAACCGAATCGTATTGATAACAGACTTGAGGCAACGGCCAAAAGTGACAATTTGGCAAGAACCAAACCTCTTCTTACTTATCTCTTTGTTCCAAAACGGTGAATAGTTATCCAAAACCGGAACCGAAGAAACACATTAGATGCCACGTGTAATCCGACGACACATGCAAGCTCATGCAGTGAAGAAGCTAAACACCACGTGGCACTCTCAGTCTCACCTGTTCAAAGAGATCTTTGAAGAACTAAAAAGAAGTCTAGAAATAGAAGCAACCTTCTTTTAAATTTAAACTCCTATATATAGTTATCTAACCCAACACGCAACAAAAAGAGAGAGAACAAAAAAAAAAAAACCTAAATTAGCGGAAGAAAAAAAGAAGTTAAAACCGAAAGCGAAAGCAAGCTTGATTGATATTTTGTGGGTTTCAAAGTTACAAGTTTTGATTACGAACACGCAAGTATAGCGTGAGATCTTGATTAGAGAGAGTTCTTGTATTTAATTATTAGATTCTTCAATCTTGTTTCTGTAAATTTCGGATATTTGAAAACAAGCAAAGATGTGTAGTTTGGCTACAAATCTGTTACTACCATCGAAGATGAAACCAGTTTTGCCAGAGAAACTGAGCACTAGCTCACTCTGTGTCACCACTAGAAGATCTAAGATGAAGAACCGATCTATTGTTCCTGTAAGAATCTCAAATCTTTTTCCTCTACACTCTGTTTTCAAAGTTCCTGTTTTTGTTAATAATATCATTTTTTGTTTGATTTAGATACGTTTCTGTGTAAATATATAACTAATTTTGGAGAATTTTAGAAAGAGTAAAAAAACGATCTATTGGTTTGGTTTATATACTCTGTTTCTTAGGGTTTATCTCTTGCGTTGAGCCTTGTTTGAATCTAAAATTTAATGAATCTTATTGAAGATTTGATATATTTCCCTCGTGTTTTGAATGGATAAGGTTGCAAGATTGTTTGGACCGGCGATTTTTGAAGCCTCCAAATTGAAAGTATTATTCTTAGGAGTTGATGAGAAGAAACATCCAGCAAAACTTCCAAGAACTTACACTCTAACTCACAGCGACATAACCGCTAAATTAACTTTAGCTATATCTCAATCCATCAATAACTCTCAGGTATCATAAACTGCCCCATGGTTTACAAAAATAAGGGTTTAGGGTTTAGCGTTTTAGGATATTGATGTACTTGTTGGACTGTGATTTCACCAGTTGCAAGGATGGGCTAATAAATTGTTCCGGGACGAAATAGTGGCCGAGTGGAAGAAAGTGAAAGGTAAAATGTCGCTTCATGTTCATTGCCACATTAGCGGAGGCCACTTCCTCTTGAATCTCATCGCGAAGCTTCGGTACTACATCTTTTGCAAAGAATTACCGGTGGTAAGTTAATTTTGTACAATCTTTTTAGTAATAGTCTAGTGGTTATTGTCATGTTAATTAGGAGATATAAAAAAAAAAAAAAAAATTGTAGATAATTTTTAACTTGTATGGCGCAAGCAAAGATTGCAAGATGTTTGTCTGGAATTCTTGGCTACAAGATATGTTTATATTTTATATGATATGTAATAGCGAGATTGATTGACTATATTGGACCTATTGATTTATAGGTACTGAAAGCTTTTGTCCATGGAGATGAGTACTTGTTGAATAATCACCCTGAACTACAAGAATCTCTTGTTTGGGTTTATTTCCATTCCAACATACCGGAGTACAATAAGGTCGAATGTTGGGGCCCGCTTTGGGAGGCTACATCACAGCACCAGCACGACGGAAATAGGAACCGCAAAAAGAGTGAAAATCTACCGGAGCTACCTTGCCCTGGTGAGTGCAAATGTTGCTTTCCGCTGGTTAGCACGATCCCATGGTCTCATCGTCATTATCAAAATAGCGGAGCGGATGAGTATGTCGCGGATGGCCTGTTTGGAATCTCTATACCTAACCCTGAGAAATCAAAGGGATAGATCTAATGTAAATGTATAATTTCTTTTTCTTTGGTGGTTAGGAAAGTTAGAAGGAACATAAAAGTCTATTTGGTCGGTGTTAAGAGGGAATGACAATTGTATAACATTAGTCTCAGTATTATAAGTTCCTTCTGTATTTGTTTTATAAGGTGAATAGTATTAGACCCACCCACGTGTTATACATGTCTTTTGATTGTATGAATATCGACACAAGATAAATAGTACTAGGGTTTGGCATCAAGTCACGAAATTAAAAGACATTACTTTTGAAAAATATCATTCTTTGTATAACCTCTACAATACTAAGAGAGTTGTAAGGGAGACAGAGAGAGATGTGTAGCTTGATGGCAAACTTGTTGCTCCCAGCAAACCTGAGACCAGATTTTTCAAACAAAGAGAGAAGTAGCTCAATCCCTTCAACTACTAGAAGTTCCAAGAAGAAGAAGCAATCTATGTTTCCTGTAATAATCTCAATCTTTTCCCTGAGAAATGATTTCAAAGCTCTGTTTCTGGAAAACAAAATGAAAATATCTATTTGTTTTATTTAATCAAACCTTAATGTTAATTTTCTTTTTCTTTTGAAATGGTGAAGGTTGCGAGACTGTTCGGACAGGCCATTTTCAAAGCTTCTAAACTGAATGTCATGTTTTTAGGAGTTGATGAGAAGAAGCATCCATCAAATCTTCCAAGAACTTACACTCTCACTCATAGCGACATAACCGCTAACTTAACTTTAGCTATTTCTCACTCTATCAATAACTCTCAGGTAATTAGTTATTCATTACCTCTCGACCATTTAACATATGTTAAGACATGGATTTAAAATATAGAGTTTTAGCAAAGCTGATGTAAGTTTTGATCCCATGGTTGCATCAGCTGCAAGGATGGGGAAACAGGTTGTACCGGGATGAAGTAGTTGCCGAATGGAGGAAGGTGAAAAGTAAAATGTCGCTTCACGTTCACTGTCACATTAGTGGCGATCATTTTCTTTTGGATCTCATTGCGAAACTTCGTTACTTCATATTTTGCAAGGAATTACCGTTGGTAAAATATTTTTAGCCAAGTTTAGTCTATAGTCTACGGGTATCGACTTCTTAGGCAAAGTAATGGATCGATTATTGTTGGATAACATCATTATTAATTAGTGCAAACTTTATGTAGCAAATATAAATTTCAAGGATTAGTCTAGATTTCAATATCGGATTTTGATCCTTCATAGAATATAAATTTTAATGTTCCATATATATATATGACTTGTAACACTTTTTTGGTCTTTTAATTATATCTGACCTGTTGATTTATAGGTGTTAAAAGCTTTTGTGTGTGGAGATGAGAACATGTTAAACAATTACCCTGAGCTACAGGACGCTTTTGTTTGGGTGTATTTCCATTCCAACATCCCCGAGTTCAACAAGGTCGAATGTTGGGGTACGCTGTGCGAGGCCACCTCGCACGACGGTTGTAAGAGCCACCCGTGTGAAACCTTACCGGAACCGCCTTGCCTTGATAAGTGCAGCTGTTGTTTCCCGACGGTCAGCACGATCCCTTGGTCTCATTCTCATGACAGCCATGGTGAAGAGGATGATAGTGTAGCTATAGCCGGAGGGCTTGTGACTAAGTACATGTATAATCGAATTAAACAAAAATTGTAACACATATCTGTCTATGTTGGAGTATAAGCTAAATTACTTTGATGCGCTGGTTACTAGTCGAAAGAAACTGTAGAGCAAAAATCCGAACTTTTCCTTATCAAAAAAAAAAACACTACACTTTAAGATGTATAATCAAACATACACTTTATGCTGATAATTCATGGTGCTGGTAATTATGTCCGTATACAAGTGCAACGTAAATTTATCTTCCTATTTTTTTCACTTTTGAACAGAAGGTGATCACTCGGTCTTTTAGAATAATTAGGAGAATCAAACAAGACACCTGATTGTTTGTATTAAAAACGTGGGGGCAATATTATTTGGCGAGGAAAAGACTAGTCTTTATTTTTTGTCCCACCAACTGATCACGACACAACATAGAAAATTTTGAAAATGAAACACGAGATATTTCCAGAACCTTCTTTGGTGCAAATCCCATTTATATGAATGAATAATTAGAATATTAGAAACTATAATGATGATTGTTTACATGGGTATATATGCACTAACTTTACAATTTCCATTAATTAGTTTAATAGTTTTATCCGATAGTTTTAACAAACATAGTATTTTATCCGATATCACACAGTTTTAACAAACTTAGAGCATGTGTAGTAGGAGATTATCTCCAAATCTCTCAAAATATATTATTATAATATACATAAATAAGTTTAATTGTATAATTAAATTTTAAGTAATAATTTTTTTTTAAAACCAATTACATGTTGCCATGTGTGACATGAGTCTCTAAAGAGGTTTTCAAAAGTTCTCATACGAGAACTCATGCTCATGTTTCTCTGTTACATTTTATTATTTTCATTTTTTATATTCTTTAGAACACTTGTGAGAACCTCTTACTGCACATACTCAAGTGCTCTTAGTATTTTATCCGATATCAAGCTATATCCATCCATGAACATTTATTCATAATACTTGCTTGCTATTTTGGCCAATATCACTCTATTTTAAATGTCACGCCACGATATTTCATAACATTTCACAATTTCGCTTGACTACACAAAAATACTTTGGTCAATCCAAGCGAAAATACCTTAACTCATAGCATTGTGCCACCATAGTCATAATTTAATTTAGTACTTATATTTTATAAGCAGATCTCTAAATGTTCGAGATGAATTTGTATGTTTCTAATGAATCAAAATTGTTTTGGTTCTGCATGTTATAGTCATTGGGACCACCTACACGTGGAAAATGCGGGGAGATAATCGAGAGAAGTTGATCTATGTCGACCATATAACAACATTCTCCTTCAACACATAACAATTTGGTGAAATTTTTTAAAAGAAGTTTGAACATAGGTTAAGTGAGAAAGTTAATAATACTCACAAAACCAATAAACATTTTTTTAACCGAACTGAACCAACCGAACTCAAACCGACCTAAACCAAACCCAAGCTTAGACTCAAACCATTCAGTTATGTTTCTTCTCAATCTAAATGGGTCGGTTCGGTTCGGTTTAAAACCGAACCGATAACCCAATGTGTATTTAATTAATTATAGTTTATTGGAATTATTCAATTTAAACTTACAACTTGAACTTGCTTACTTTAATATATTATCAAATTCAAAGTTCAAACCACAATGAACTAAAGAATTTTGTTTTGTTACATTAATTGATTTTTTGAACCGAATTAAAACCGAACCGAACATAAACTGACCTAAACACAAACACAAACCAAACCAAATTCGGTTGAGTTTGGTTAGAGTTTTGCAAAACCCAAATAAACCGAACCGAACGGAACTGAACCCGAAGTTAAACCGAAATGCCCACCCGTGGAGACATAACGTTGGCTAAGTGTCCTAAAAGCATAAAGATCTTTAGAACCTTTTAACTCCGGGTCATGGAGAAATCTACATTCTACATTTTCTTTGGTGTAATCAAAAGTTTCAGGAAATATTATATTTACAATAAGAAGTCCAATCTGTACAACGGAGACGAAAATCTGAAGAAACCCAGATCACACAAAACTCATAAAACTTAGAGGTTTGATCTGTTGCCACTAATTTAGTCTTTCTCATCTCTGCATTCTCATGAGAAAGACTTCACACCATCTCAGGGAGGTTTGGTTAGGACGACCAACTAATCTGGCTGTGTTTAGCTTCTTCTTCATCGCCCTGATTTCGAGAATCATGTCAAGATTTCACCGGATTGTTGTTCTACCAAAAGATAATGCCCCGATTTCGCTCTCTCTGCTCTGAGAATAGAAAAAGAAAAAGAAAAAAGAGAATTTTGTGTGTTATGCATTGTTCATTTTCACAGGATTTAAGGATTAGGAATCGCGAAAATATGCTTCGGGTTCTTTACCTGAGATTTCGGAGAAGGGAAGACATTCCAGAATCGCAAGGTTTCATCTCCTGCTCCTGTCACAATCGTCTGCAAAAAATACAAGAAAAGTGTGTTGATGCAAAGTGTAGATAAACAACAGCATAAGAAAGTAAGCAAAAAAATATAAGATGACGATTAGAAGAATAAGCAATGAGAAAAAGAAATAAAGTAACCTGTCCATCAGGTGACACTGCAAGGTACAGAACGCGGTACGTGTGACCCGTGAGAGTTGCCAACTGTAATAGAACAGGTTCGATCATTAAAATCCCAAAATTCAGTAACAAATCAAAGAAGCCGATATGAAGAACAAAGAATTCTTACTTTAGACATGGTTGGATATTTCCAGACGATGATTTGGTTCTGGGAATATCCGTGCGTGCTCACAAGCTCATTCACGTTCTTAGACCATACCAAATTACACACCTGCGTGTGAAAAGAAGATTATGTAGCTATAAAACCACAATGTGAAATGTCAGTTGTTTATAAGTTAGCATAACCGGATTTACCTGGCTGTTGGTGTCTATGCAACTTAAATGAGTGTTTGTCGTGGTGTTCCAGAAACGGATACATCTATCAGCAGTGCCACCACCGGAAGCAAGAAGTCCATGATGATGTGGTGACCATGCAATGGCTTTCACTGCTGCGGCGTGTTCACAGTATCTCAAAACCGGTTGTGTTGAATGTTGGTTCCATACAAAAAGCTGCAAGATCCTAGAATCATAACCCATGCTTGAAAAATCATGTTAACTTCAGACACAGAATGAAGATTATATATTTACCTTATTGTCATTTCCACCTGATGCTAGCTCGCGATTGTCAAAAGACCATTTGAGTCCACATATTTCGGATTTGTGACCTTTTAGCTTACTGACATGATCTTCTTGAGTCCGAATGTCTCTCTGAAGTATGCTCTTGTCTCTACTACCTGAAGACAGTACAGATGAACTCCATGCCAGGGCTCCAACTCTTAGACGATGACCTTCCATTGTTCTTATCCTATTGCATCGTAACACATCCCAGATCTAGTAAAAGAAAACAGTAAAGATATCATGACACCTTCCTCAAATCTAAAGACAAATATCCATCTTAACCACCAATGATCAAGTTAATGCAGCCAATATGATTCGGTGAACCAAGGTAGTTAGTGCATTCCTGTGAAATAACATTTGCATAAGCAACAACATCCTCAAGGTCTAACTCAACCTAGTTTCAGAAAAAGATTCATTCCAGATTCAAGAGGTAATGTATATAAAGGCATGTATAGATTCAAATAGCCAAGTCTGTCTTGTATTCTAACCTGTACTGTTCCGCTACTAGTTCCAATCGCCAAATGTGTTCCACGTAGTGCCCAGCCCACTGAGCAAACGCTTTCATCAACCCCAAGATCGCATAACTTAGTTACCTGCAAATAGCAGAGAAAGATTCCCATAACAAAAGACACTATCTAAGACAAGAATAAGACAGAAGTTACAAATCAGGAAGAAAAAGAAAAAGAAATGTACTCACGTTGCTACTACAAGCATTCCACAAATACACACAGTTCCCTAATCCCACTGCAAGAACATTATGTGCCGACCAATCCACAAGATTCAAGTAAAAATCATCTTGCAGAGCCGGCGCATCCAATACCTAGCAACAACAACAACAACAACAACAACAACAAGCCTCTACTATCATCCACAGGGCAAATGCAACAAAAAGGAAAAACCTTTATAATCAAACTAGATAAATAGTAAACAGTACTCATTCTTCCACAATCTACAAACCCTAATTTCAAATCCACAAACTCTAAAATCCCTAAGAAACCCCCAAAGATCAAAAACAAACACTCACCTTATAAGGAGACCGAAGAATCTTCCTCGGCGACTTAACAGGACTAGGGCTAACACCAGTAACCACATCAGAACCAAAAGGCGGATACAAATTCAAAGATCTCTGCGTTTCCGTCTTAAACCTAAAAATATTCCTCGACGGAGAAAACCCATTAACAACATCACTCTTCTCCGGTGTCACCGGACCAAAAAGCGCCGTTTTCAAAAGACTCGCATAAGAACCAGCCCCATCTTCTTTCCCATCTTTCTTCGGCGAAGAAGATGCCAAATCGAAAAGCGCGAAATTGGAACCAGATCTACTTGGAATAAACCTATCTGAGTAAATAGGTTTAGAAGGAGAGTGATAATGATTTGAATCAATTAAACGGTTGATTCGTGACTCAAGTGAGACCGTCGGTCGATTCATCGACGGTGGAAGATTCAGCTGAGAATCTGTCTTCTTCTTCGGTGTTGTTGATTCATCTTCTTCCATGGTTGATTTCAACCTCTTACTGTTTCTTTCCTCCAGATTTGAGATTTGGGTTGAGAAAAAAATGAAATCTTTCTGTTTTTTTTTTTTGTTCACTAAAGGTTTTTTTTTTCTTTCCCGGGAAAATTGTTGAGGGAAACAGAAAATGTCAAGAGAATTGGTGCGAAAATAAGGGAGAGATCAAGTGTGGTAGGGTTTATGGTAGATACAATATTTCCTATTGTCTTATTGGACCGACTAATTGGGCTTGAAACTTATTTTTAGCCCAATAATATATCGAAATTTTTGGTTTGTTATTATTTTATTTTTTTCTGTATATGATTTAAGCCTCTAAGGTAATCAACAAGAGGCTGCAAGTTTAAAAATTATAACTTTTTTTAGCAAAATTTTAAACCTTTTTATTTATACAGTTATAGAAAATGTGGATAATAATGATTTGCTTAGCTGTATATTGTGTTAGAGATTTCAAGGTGATACTTTTCTATATATGCAAATGCAACTTTTAGAAAAATATAGAAATCCAGAAGTAGAAATAAATTAATTCGTTTGACTATCTTAGTCTCTTAGATACATTGGCCCGCTACAAAACAAGAAACATAAAATAGCTAATTATAAAAATTTATACATAGGATTTAACCGTTTAGGGGTTATCTTATTAATGCATTAATAAAAAAAATAAAAATTAAATCATTTTCTTTAATTTCAACAATACTAGAATTAATTTATAAGAAAGGAGTTTTGACCACTAGTATGCTTACACTGAATCTATTTAAAATAATGTTTTCAAATTAATTTTTACAGTAATGTATAAAATAAAATAAATAGGAAAAAATGTAAATAGGGAAAAAATAGATATACAACTTATGAACAATTTTAATAATTATTACTAAGTTTTATTATTAAAATATTTAATTTTTGTTATGAGAATTCAGAAGTATTAACTTAGTCAAAAATTTAAATATTGTTGACTATGCAATGTATAGAAAGATATTTTAACAAATATAACAATAACGGTCAATGATATTACCGGGAAACAAACGGTAACTCAAAATTTCAAAATACCGTTACCATATAGATGACTGTCTATTTTTTTTTCAAACATAGTAGTAACTTTTTAACCAAAATAAATACAAAATTCTAGAATTTAAACTAATTTCGTATCGAAAAAATACTGTCAAGCTAACGGTATTCGAGGGAAATAAACGGTAATTCAAAAAATAAATAAATAGAAATAAAAACTGGCAGTCAATCTAATCACAAACACCTAAAATTAATAGATATATGCATGTTAATTGGTCGTGTAAGACTAGATTTCTTGCATTAATTACCTTCAACATATTATTGAATAATCTCCACTCATATTTTCAGTATAAAAACATAGTGTCCCTCTGCAAAACTTTTATCAGACAACTATCATTTTCTCGTCTAAAAGACCCAAAACATTTCTCTCTTTCACTCTCTAGCCGGAGCTTTCACTGATATCATATTTCGTTGTCATGTCATCCGCAGATGAATTGATAAGAACTTGTCACGTACTTCTTAGACTCGGTGACTTTGTCGGAGTCCAAGATGTCGTGAACAAGAACAAGGTATTATTCGGTGAACGGCTAGATGAATTTGAGAAAGCCGCGGCTATCTCGGCCGTTCTCACGGCCGCAGAGAATCCGCTTCCAAACGGATTGATGGATTGGTATGGGATGATTAGGGTGAAACCACCCGGACCTGTCTTATCGGAGGACTTCGAGAAGTTGATGAATCTATTGAACTCCAGTAACAACCCTTTCCCATTTTGCCAGGAAGCTCGTGTGAGAGCCTCGTTAGCTTGGTCGTATCTGTCCGATCCAACCTCAAAGGCGGGGTACGATAACGCTATGTCCAACAAGGAAAACCTTGTAATCGAAGACCAAAGCGATGACATAACCGATGTTGGTGGTCTTTGCGGAGATGGTAGCAAAGGTGAAGTGGACACAAGAAAACGAAAGGCGGATAGTCTCACTTGTTCTGATTTGCCAGCATCAGAGTACTTGAAAGAGTTTCAGGAGACGGAGGAGAATCCCTTGCCGCTGGCGGAGACACAACAGGCTCCCAACAATGAAGTTCCATCGAAAGACACTTCCTCTGTCCCCGAGAAACATAAAGTTGGTCCTGGACCTGACGATGAGGTTGTGATTATTTCTGATGACGAGGATGAGGAATACGTGGGCCGAGATATTATATCAATGGCTAGAACAGCGAAAGTGCGCATAGTTGATGGAAGGAAAGTGAAATTTATTCCATTGAGGAAGAAGCAAAATTAAGTACAAGACTTGTTCAAGAAGAAGATACTTTACTTTTAGATTATTATTCTAAATTTTCTTTTAGATAATAATTGAGGTTGTAATTTCATTTTTCTTGACATCGTTTGTATTACATCTTCTTCTTTCAGTATTAAATTTTCTTGTCTGAAATATCAAATCTTTATTATTATTACTACTATCTCCTCTTGGTCATTAGTTATTTCAATGTAGGCTCTCGTTCTTATTTCTCATTAACCATCCATTCTATTATTTTTGGTATATTCTCCTTCTTCTTATTATTGCATATTTTTTTCTTTATATACACACAACAAATCAACATTCCCTCCATAGTTTTACTTCTGCGTCTTTCTCTCTGTTACACACTCTCTCATCAATCAAAATTCATCTTCTGTATTTTCCTCCATTCTTCCAAACTAGGTCAAAAGTAAAAGGCATAAATGTGTTAATTTATGGGCCTCAGCCAATTCTGCTCAAGCCCAAATCCGAATTCAAGCATGAGGTTATTACAGGTAGGCCTAGTTGGGCCATCTCCTTTACCTGCAAACTGAAATAGAGAGAAGGTAGGGTTTGCATATAAAAAGGCTAATAGATTGGTACTCAAGAAAGATTGAGGCCTATCCCTTGTTTGAAAAATCGCTAGGCGCTAGTCGGGCGCTCGGCATGGGCCTAGCGATTAATCAGAAATCGGATTAAAATCGGGGATTAATCGGGGATTAGTTTTAGGGTTATTTTAATATTTTTAAAACATATTAATCCAATATTATTTTCAAAATTGCAGTAAACACATAAAAATGTATTTTTGATACAAATTTTTATGATTTTTATTACAAATTTTTGATTTTTATTAAAATTTGAACATAAATTATTGTAAAACATTACAAACTCTCAATTCAAATGATTGAATAACAAAAATAAAAAGTTTTTTTACACTAGCAATCTAAAAATAATCGGAGTATGTAAGATTAGGCGGGGAATAATCGGATTAGGCGGAAAGTAATCGGATTAGGCGGAGAGTAATCGGGTGATTGATTTCTTTAAGGGATTAGTCATTAATCGAGGCGGATAGGGTGAGCCTAGCGATTAAGCGGAGAGTAATCGGGTCTAGGCGGGGATTTTTAGAACAGGGGGCCTATCCTTTAAATTCCAGAACAGAAAGTGTTTCAATGGTAGAGAGGGAGAGAGTTCAACTGAGAGAGAGAAAAAGAAAAAATATACATTTAAGTAAAGTTCGAGTCTTTATCTTAAGCTTTGTAATGAAACACAAAGAAAGTGCCGTTTAGAGCGTTGTGTAAATCTTAATTGATAGATTTTAGAAGTTTATTGGACAAAGATATATATGTATAAGACAATCTAAGTTCCGTGATGGAAAAACTAAGCATTACACATGCAATGAAATTTATTATGTCCTACCAAAAAAAAAATGAAAATTATTATGTTATATATATATATAGTTAATGATCACACTATAGAAAAATATTGGAAGGCTACTAAAAGGTTTTTTGGGTTTCTAAAAGATAATCTGAGTTCACCATTATGTTTCATAAATTGTCTCACATGGGTTGTACACATTTGATCCCGGTATTTTACACATTTGATGGTACTGTAGTTTAGGGTTTTAAAGTTTCCAAGATCGTAACTGTGATACGTTCTGTGGTGCCGTGCTTTAACGTGTGGTGGCCTAAGACACATCTAGAAAAAATGTCTATGGTAATATTTCAAAAAAGTAATTATAATATTGAATCAAAACAAAATATTAGTAACAAAAACTGAGAATGTAAAAGAAAATAAAAATAAGTTATTTTCTTTGTTTTTATATGTTTTTCTAAAAATATTCTTTGTTTTTCTAATAATATTGTTTTTTAATATATATTTTTACTTATTATTATATATTACTAAAGAATGTGTTTTCAAGATAAGAAAATCTTCTCTAAATAATTAAAGGCATAGTTAAAAATATAATTTCCATTAAATAAATATATATTTTGTATCAAACTAACTAAATAGATATACTACTTTCTTACAAAAATGTGGCCTATAAAATAATCTTTTTTTTTTTTTGTGGCTTTGAGCATTTGCCCTTTTCGCCAAAGAGTTATCACGGCTCTGGGTTGTGAAGTCAGCTTGAGAAGAACCCAAGACGTAAAAACTATTATAGACATATAAGAGCAGCTTCAATGGGAGCTCTTTTGTGGGTTTTTTTTTGGTGAAAAGTGATTAAAATTATATCAGAAAACTTATTTATGAGAAGAATTGGTTCTCTAAAGAGAGATTTGAGAACCCAAGAGAGTTGGTTCTCTAAAAATTTATATTAAATAATTGGAGAGAGCCCATGGAGAACTCTCACCATTGGAGGTGATCTAACATGTTGTCATATCATGTCTAACTTGTGTGCAACTTAGTTATGTTCTCGCTGAGGACTAGAGAAACCACTACAAATGAAAGCAGATGATCGTGATTAGAGTTTAATGATATGAGAGATTGTTGAATTGTCAAGTCAATTTTAGAAAAAGTAAACTTATGAACAATATTTATAATTAAAGCTAAATTTATTATTCAAAAGGATTTAATTTATTGTAGAAATCTCAATTTAGTCAAAAGTTTAAAATATACTTGACTATGAAATGTATAGAAAGATATTTAATATATAGAAACAATAATGATCAACTGTTTCCCTCGAAATAAACGGTAATTCAAAATTACAAACTATAGTTATCATACAGCTAACGGTATTTGTGTAAAATAAACGGTAATTCAAAAAATAAATAGAAATAAAGTATTTTTTTTTTTTTTGGTGAGAATAGAAAGAAAGTATTTGTGTAAAATAAACGGTAATTCAAAAAATAAATAGAAATAAAAAATAATCATAATTAAACTCCTAAATAAAAATAAGAGATAATCACTCTGCATTAATTATTTGGTCGAAGTTGTTAGACTAGATTTCCCTTCATTAATTACCTGCTAAAACAAAATATTCTTCCCTAACAAATCAAATATAAAACCATAGTCTCCTTGTGCAAAGACCTTGCATCATCGTCTAAAATACCAAAATACACCTCTCTCTCTCTATTTTTCACTAAATCGTTGCCATGTATTCTGGAGAAGGTGCTTCACAAACCCGCACAGCCCCCGAAGATAAACCAATCCAAAGGTGCCACCAACTTCTAAAGTTGCGTGACTTTAAGAGCGCTCGATATATCATTCAAATGAATAAGCGAGTAAGCAAGAAACGTCATGATGAGCTTGAGAAAGCCCTAGTCATTTGTGACATCCTTATCGCTGCAGAGAACCGTCTTCCCCACGGGTTGTTGGATTGTTACGGCATGATCCGGATGACCGGACCTGGACCCGTTTTATTTGAGAATATCGAGAAGATATTGAATCTTTTGGGATGGGGAGACACTAGTAACCCTTTCCCATTTAGACATGAAGCTTCTGAAAAAGCCTTCTTTGCTTGGTCGCTCCTGTCCAATCCAACCATTAAGTCGATGTACGATTACGCTATCTCGGACGAGGATAACCTTGAACCCCAAGGAAATGTAGGCAGCAGCCAAATCGGTGATGGATTAGGCGATGACATAACCTATGGTGGAGAGAACAAAAGAAAGCGAAAGACGCGTAGTCTCATTTGTTCTGATTTGCCTGGATCAGAGTGCTTGAAAGAGTTTCCGGTAGCGGATGTGAATCCCTTGCCGCTGGCGAGGAAACGACAGGCTCCGCACAATCGGTTTCGATGGAATGACACTTCCTTTGATCCCAAGAACCATAATGTTGGTCCTGGAACTAACAATAAGGTGGTAGTTGTTTATGACGACGCTGAAGAGGAGGAGTATGACATGAGCTTGAGCAGCGAACTGCGCATAATTAATGGAAGGAGAGTGAAAATTACCATTGAAGAAGCAGCAAAAACAAATGCTACTGCTAGTTGCTCAAGATGAAGAATATGTTCATTTTAGAACATTATCCTAAATTTTTCTTTTTCATAATAAAACTGAGGTTGTAATTTCATTTTTCTTTATGTCGTTTTTATTTCATCTTCTTCTTTTAGTCTCATATTTTTCTCTTGTCTGAAATCATCTCAATCTTTATTATAGTATATTAAATCATCTCAACCATATTTTTTACTAGTCATTTTTACACGAAAATAAGATGTGTAAGATCATTCCAAATACATTTGCTATTGGCAGTCTCATATACACAATAGTTAGCCTAAATAGTATGTAAAAGGCTAAATAGTGTGTATGCAATGGGAAATTGTTAGCCTTGTTTTGAGGAACCACGAAAAATCGAAAAGCAATACTCAAAAACTTTAAAAGTGGATTTTCGAAGGTATATAAAATTATCATTACTTTTCAAAAAGTTTGAAATAGAGTTGCATGGTTATGTTGATACAGACCACACACGTTCAATGATACTACAATTTGTATAGATTTCAAGATTGGATATACATAATACATGTATATAAACAAAACAACTCGCCCATTACAATATTTTCAATAACTCATTTTATAAACAGTTGATTCCACATAATATGTCTCCTAAATAACGAAGATCTTACAGGTTACAATCCAACATAAGTAGAAAAAAAAGGGTTCAATTAACACTACAAATGGAAAACATCATATCAAGAAGGACGATCTAATCAACTAGTTAAGTTTGTTGTTACTTGTTACTCTATGAAGTAGTATTGTCAAATTTTGGAACCGTTCTTGTTCTCGAAGCATTAGGATTAGTTCTTTATAACATCTCATCTCCATTTCCTCTCTCATCGCTTTCTTCTTTTTTTTTTTTTTTTTTGAATGTAATGGTAAATTATATTCAAAGAAAAAATATCGTTTTTACAACTAGTGCAACGTTCGTCTGAATTTAAACCGAAATCTGAAATTCAAAATTCAAAAAAAACTTATAGTCTTGATTCAAACCACATTTGGAGCCCCTTTTCATATCTTTTGTCCCCCAATAGTTTGATGGACGAAAGTGTGTTCCGAGTGTGCTTGTCGATCCAACCTAC